TTGTGGTCTAAAAGCACATTTTGGACCATACTAAGCCATAAAAGCTCTCACCATGAACCCTACAAGAGAGTTTCTATTCCTACCGTCGACTGAGGGTTTGTCGCACCTGCTTGGACCCCTCCGTCGAACAGGATCCCTTACGGTCGGCAAATTTCTGGCACCACCGCTGGTCACATGTGCAATGTAGGTACATGATTGCGCATTGGTAGCAGTGATACAGCAACACTACACCACATTTAACAATGTTTATTAGAAGTTGAATTCAAATGTAGGCTCATATAGAAACATCAACTGTAAAACCTAATGCAAAACATCGCAGTACCTACCATGTCATAAAGCTCATCGCTCATTTGTGGTTTAGGGGCTGTTGTCCACTTAGCGCCCTCTCTGAAATATTCTTTCATCAAACGGCGGTATGCACGATACTCAAAGAAACGACACCTCCAAGCCATTGGACTTTCAATGATTTCCTCACCAACCACAAGCAGGAGATCACGTGGCATCGCTGAATACAATCCTACATACAACATATATTTTTTTTTAACAATCTTTTATTGGTTTGGGAATGGCTGCATTTATGTACCACTCTTGATTAGTACAGTAGAAAAAAAAATATAAAACAGAAATATTATAATCATAATTAACAGAGATTACGAATACAATCTAGGCCTACCACTTGTCACGTGGAACACCAAACACACATTACCACTGAATTGAACCATTGAATTGGTAATTGACAGCGTCGAATGTGTCATGAAGACACCTTATGGTACTGTAGGATGTTAATTCAACGTTTTACACGTGGGCAAGTGTAACCTGCAAGCCACATTTTGTTGCTGCTCGCGATAACCCTGTGTACTTTGGATATAAAACCCTTTGTTTTTAAGGCCAGATATATCTCAGACCCAACACTACTGTGCGGCACCAACAATAAAAATGCATAGTCAATTCTAATATACTATTGTCCTATTAGCATTTGAATGAACTTGTCAATGCCGTCAGTTTACTTACCCGTCGAGCTGAAATCAGGCGTGGAATACGATTTCGAATGATCGAGGACATCCGGTCGTCGAACCTTCACTCCTTCGTGTTCTAAAATTCGGCAAAACTCCGCAATCTCTAACGAAGCCTTCCTCATGTGTTCGGTCGGGAACCATTTTCCTGCGTTCTCTTTAAAAAAATTCCAACTTTTTTCGGGGACGACAGCCTTAAGCAAAGAATTAGAAAGAAACAATTATATCAAAACAATTATATCCATAACCATGGTTTCCATAGGCCTAGGGCCATCATGTTCGTCGATACAGTAAGTTTCCCTTCCTTTTGAGTATGTGGGAGTGAAAACATACTGCTTACATACTCAAGAAGTCACCACTGCGCTAAATTTAATGAATTAGCAGCCCGCATGGCTAACGCAGCTCATCTTGCTCACATGAAAGAAAGAATTTACATTAAATGGGATGGACGCCTTTCGTTTTGTTTTTTGTTTTTTTTTTTTTTTTTGCTT